CTGCTTCTCCCTCTGCCTATGTCTCTGCCTCTCTCTCTCTCTCTCTCTCTCGTGAATAAATGAATAAAATCTATAAAAAATAATAAAAATAAAAAAGAACTAGACAAAGTTCCTGTGCCATGAAGCTTCCATTTGAGAGGGCCAGGCAAATACTAAACACATACACAGATAAATGAATTATTTATTTTCAGTTAGCCTTGCATTGGTATAAAGAAAAGACATCAAGACTATGTCATAGATATTGATGAGATCTGTCAAATAATTGTAGACTTACTCACTATTTAATTGTCCAAAAAACTGGGCACCTGGGTGGCTCAGTGGCTGAGGATCTGCCTGTGGCTCAGGTCCTGATCCTGGAGTCCTGGGATCAAGTCCCGCATCGGGCATCCCATAGGGAGCCTGCTTCTCCCTCTGACTATGTCTCTGACTCTCTTTCTGCATCTCTCATAAATAAATAAATAAAATCTTTTAAAAAAATTGTCAAAAACATTAATCAAAAAAATTTAATCAAGCTAATTTCTATACCTCAAAACTGAACAGTGAATTTCGCGTTCAGAATGATTGTCCAGAAAAGCCAGACAAATTATTTCCCTTATACTTATTTTTCAGAAGGAAATGAGAAAAAATAGGAAGGAGAGAGGAAAGAAGGAGAAAGGAAGGGGTGAGGCTATATTCTAGAAAAATTTCTTGCAAGGTGGAGAAAATCCAGTTAACCAAAGCACGCCACTCCAGAAAAATTCCAATCAAGGATTTTTTGAACCAATTAGAACTGTATCTTATTACTTTGGCTATTTAGATTGAAAATCTAGGAAATAGTGCTTGTATTTATTTATATTTCCTGATTTTTAAAAATTGCCTTCTCTCTAATAGAGGAAATCCTGGTGTGGTTTTTATAAATGTCATTTTGCTTTCAAGCTTATCCCATTACTTAATCTAGTTCCTTTTAGATTTACAAATGACATCCTAATCATCTGTAGCCTTTATATAATTGGAAAAAATCGTGTCTGCAAAAGTGACACATTTGTAAAAGTGATGATTTTTTAATATCTTTTCTAGATAATGCAATTTAACTCAAATTGATTCACATTATTACTGACTTTGAAAAGAGCTGAAGACCACTAGACCATACCAATTGCTTCCATTTTTCTTGATTGACAAATAAAAAGCAAAGGCATCCTTCTCAGAATGAGTGTAATTAAACCGAGTATGACATGGGTGGGGGCTACATGATTTAGATGTAATTTCTTTCCCATCCATAAATACAGCTTTTAGAGCCAAGGATAAAGGACATGATGGGGGCATGAGCTTAGGGTAGAACTGATATTTTTCAAAGCAAATTTCTGTCATACTGGGTTTTGTGGAGAAAACCAAGCGCTTGGTCACAGTAGAGGTACTCTGGAAAGTTCCTAGGTGGTGGTGGTGGCATCAATCTAGGCAGACATAAAATTAGAACAGTGTAACCAGTAAGATCTAGAGTTCTAAAATATGGTTCCAGGAGATCTCTGAGCCATAACTGGAAGTCTCCTCCACCATCAGGCACCCCCATAATAATTGCTAACTTTTGAGTGCACAATAGATGCCATTTGTTTTTTGTTTTATTGTCTCATGCAACTACCTTGCAGATGTGAACCATTATTATACTCAGTTGCAGATACAGAAACTGAGGCTTGGTTGGATAATTTGGACAATCTCACATACCAGTAAGTGGAGGAATTAGGATGCCAGCTGAGGCAAGTGGCTCTAGAAGCTACATTCATAAACACTACATCATGAAAAGCTCCACTTTGATCCATTGTATGTTGGCATCTCTTGTAAAATTTTGTTAAAAATTATATTGTTAAAACAAACCACCTCCTCCCCAAACTAGGTTTGAAGACCATCCACTTAGAATGATCAGAACATCTGTACTCACTGCAGCTGTACCTTGCAAAGAGGGGTAAATGGTAATCTCCAAAGGAGGCAAAAATGTCTTGGGGAAAGGACTTAGAGCCTTCTCACTAAGCCCAGACATCTGAGAGAACAATAACAAAGAGGAGACAATAACAGTAATTAATAACAACACCCATCATTTATTGAGTGCTTGCTCTGTGCTAGGCATTAAGGCCTCATGCTAGGTATGTTACATGGATTATCTCAATTGATCCTTCCCCAAACCTCCTGAGGTCAGTATTACTGTTACTCTGAATTTTAAAAAGAAGAAACTCACACTTAAGCCTTGTGTCCTGCCCAAGGTCATGCAGGACTCCTAAGTAACACATATTTGAAACTTATCTCTCTGATTGTAGAATCTGCGTTCTTAACCACTAAACTCTATACAGCCCAAAGTCAAGCCACGCTGAATGTCATGAGGAGTTAGGGTCAAGTTAATGGCCTGAGTCCAAAACAGGCAGATATAAACCTGCTAAGAAGAAAGTGCAGTAAGGTACAGCACTGCAGAACGTATTCATCAATCCATTGATTCAATCTATTATTCAATAGTCTTTCTTTTTTAAAAATTAAATTTTATTTTAATTCCAGTATAGTTAGCATAGTGTTATATTAGTTTCAGGTGTAAATATCGTGATTCAACAATTGTATACATACTCCGTGCTCATCATAATAAGTGTCCCCTTTAATCCCCAACACCTATTTCTCCATCCCCCCACCCATCTCCCCTCTGGGAGCCATCAGTTTTTTTCTACAGTTAAGTGTCTGTTCTTAGTTTCTCTCTCTCTCTCTCTCTCTCTCTCTCTCTCTCTCTGTCTCCTTTTTCTCCCCCTTTGCTCATCTGTTTCATGTCTGATCTTGTACATATGAATGAAATCGTGTGGTATTTGTCTTTCTCTGACTGACCTATTTCACTTAGCATTATACTCTCTAGCTCCATCCATGTCACTGCAATGGCAGGATTTCACTCTTTTTTATGGCTGGATAATATTCTATTTATCTTGGAATGGATTTTTTATGGCTGGAATCCATATATTCCATTATACATATATATATAGGTATATATATATATAACTATATAGATAGATGTAGATATAGATACATATATATAAAAATTTTTTTAGATTAAAAAATTTTTAAAGATTTTATTTATTTATTCATGAGAGACACAGAGAGAGACAGAGACACAGGCAGAGGGAGAAGCAGGCTCCATGCAGGAAGCCCGATGTGGGACTGGATCCCGGGTCTCCAGGATCATGCCCTGAGCTAAAGGCAGGCACTAAACTGCTGAGCCACCCAGGTATCCATATATATATATATTCTATTTATTTAAAAAAAAAATATATATATATGTTTTATTTAACAAATGTTTCTTGTATGCTCACTGGTTCCACTCATGAGCTCTTTAATTCGCTCAGCAAACATGTACTGAGTGCTTCATCCTGAGGAGATAAAGATAAGTAAGTCCCTGTCCTCAGAAGCTCCAGCCTACCAGAGAAGTTGTGTTGACAAATCTCTAAGAAAATAATCACTAACTCAAACAAACCAGGGCCCACTAACCAAACCCCACTGCTTTCTGGATGGCTCCCTTCCTGTTCATGGAGCCTGGTATCTGAAAGAGCGACCTCTCTGCCTATGTATTTGAAAACCTGGTTTCAGAGCTCCTGCTGTTGCTGTATGCTGCTAACAGGGACCAATCTGCGGGAGACAGCATTTTTTAGAAAAAGATTGTTTGTTTGTTTGTTTGTTCGTTCATTCATCTGAGGGAGAAGGTGAGAGAGAAAGAGAACACAGGCCAGGGACAGGGGCAGAGGGAGAAGAAGCAGACCCCCTGCTGAGCAGGGAGCCTGACACAGGGCTCCATCCCAGGGCTCCATCCCAGGACTCTGGGGTCATGACCTGAGCCGAAGGCAGATGCTTAACCAGCTTGAGTCACCCTCGCGCCTGGAGGCAGCACTTTTTTACTCACTTGTGAGTTCTGAATATTCAGAAGTAGACGCAGGTCTTAGGGGAGGGGATGCAGACCCAAAGGCCTGCGCCCAGGGACGCCAGGAATTAGGGCCGCCCGGAGGGCAGGCAGGCAGGCAGGCACGTGCGGCTGGGGCTGGCTTCAGGGGGAGAAACACCCCCCCCCCCCCCCCCCGAGAGTCAGACGCCTACGGGGCTGAGGACAGGGAGCGGTGGGGACAGCGACATTGAGCACCTGCCTCTAAGCGGCTGCCTCCGGTCGGCTTCGCGGCCCTCTAACCCGGGGCGGCTGGTGGCGGACTCAGGCCGGAGGCGGGGCGGGGACCTCGCCCCTTGAAAGGCTGGTTGGCCGGAGGGACCACAGAGCCTACCCCGGGGGTGCGGCAGCACCCATCACCACGAGGGCTTCCTGGGTGAGTCGGTGCCCAGCCGGGAGACCGAGGCGAGAGCAGCCGGCTGACAGGGGAGCAGGGCGGCGGCTGCAGGGGCAGGTGACTCCGGGCTGGGCCTCGGGCATCCTGGGGAGGCCGCGTCCATCCACAGGCCCTGGTTCCTAAAGAGCCTTTTGTGATGGAATTTTCACAGGCTTTGCTGAAATGAAGTTTTCTTAAGTTTTGGTTTGGTTGTAATGACCTTTCTTTTGTGAAAAAGTAGTGATCGTTAAATGCATACCTGACAGAGAACAAGTTGGCAGCTCTACAGGGCTCTCCAGTATTGTCTTCTTCTGCTTTACTATTTATTTTATCTTACTTTGCTTTATGTTCTTTTCAACTGCCTTACAGAATCCAGATGTCTGGGAATGAGGCTCAAGGGGAACGGCAGAGGGTCTTAGCAAAGGAGTGACGCACATTTGCATTTTGGAATGAAAAGTGGTCAGGAGGTGAGAGTGACTTCGGAAGGTGGGGTGCAGGCAGGGAGGTCAGGAGGGCGGGCGGAAGCACAGCGGGGTGTGGAAGAGGCCTCACCCCCCCGCAGAGGTGCTCAGGGCAGGATGGACCGAGCAGAGGCAAGAAATGGAGGGTGGGGGGCTGTGAAGCTCCAGAAGCTGAAGGCCTGCTTGTTCCCCTCTGGGGTCCTGGTGTCTGAGGCCCTGCCTGGCCCAGCTGGTCACCACGCACGCTTGCTGACCACCAACAAACTCGGAGGCTGACCGAGTGCAGGAAAGGAGGGGCAGAGGGGGCAGGCTGGTGGTTCCCGGCCCCTGCGGCTAGGTGGATGACAGTGCCCACAGCTGGGATGGAGGGACACTGGGGGACAGGCAGGACTGGGGGAAGATGGCAACTCCTGCTTCGGAGGTGTTGAGTGTTAAGGGTTCATGGGACATCCAGGCAGAGAGGCACAACGGGCAAACCCATCATAGGCCGGGAGGGCCAGGGAGGGGTCAAGGCTAGAACCCTGCCAGCTGGGGGAGACGGAGGGAGATGCTTAAACAGCTCTCTGAAGTGACTGTAAATCAGCAAGTGAAACTTTATTGAACATTCCAGAATACATCAGTGGGGGAAACACCCGCCAACACACACCATACTTCATTATGAAGTGCGACATGGTGATATGGTGTCATGGTTGATATGCTGGGACTCAGATTTACTTTATTATCCCTGCTTCAGAAACCCAGAATCTTCTCTATCATATCCTTGATATTATACCCAACAACCTGTAGCAACTTAAATGTTTCCTAGTTTTGCTTGTTATGAATTTCAAATCTTGAATATATATGAAAATCTTCCAAAAGATGAGAAAAATATTCTAAAGAAGTTTATGCACTGTAGGCTTTATCAGACACACAGTTTGAGAAGGTTAGGGAAAAAAATGCTAAGATAGTTCTTTCCTCGCAAATTCAGATTTGACTGGTTAACCTGGTTTCTTGGATAATGTGATATTTATTCTAACCTGCCTTTGCTGCAAAACTTAGAGGTAGGGGCACCTGGGTGGCTCAGTGGTTGAGCATCTGCCTTTGGCTCGGGGAGTGATCCTGAGGTCCCAGGATCCCCCGTAGGGAGCCTGTTTTTCCCTCTGCCTGTGTCTCTGCCTCTCTCTTTCTCTCTGTCTCTCATGAATAAATAAATAAAATCTTAAAAAAAAAAAAACCCAAAAACTTAGAGGCAAAAAAAAAAGACAAGTGAATAAGCATTTGAGATGGGGATGAGGAAGGACACGTTGTTGGAGGCACTCAGCGTTTGGCAGGCACTGTGCTGGGCACTTGCAATAGACTGTCACCGAATCTTCCCAAGTGCACGGCAGGGCAACACCGTTTAGCCCTTACAAATGAGAGAACCGAGAACCTTCAAAACTTGTCCGCAGTCACATGCTCAGTAAAGTGGTAGAGATTAGGTTTGAATCCAAATCTGTCTCTCTAAAGCCCTCGGCAAAGCCCAGGATGTACTCTGATTTTGCATTTGCTGTTTACCTCAGGTCCGGTTAGGCAAGTCCCTACTCCAGAGAGAGCTGTGCCTTGGGCTTATTAGGGCTTGATTTCCATGGTCACAAGGAAGGTATCCCCTCCCCAAATCTTCCATCATCAGATCATTCTGCTGCACTTGAGGCAAGAGGAAACAGAGAGAAAGAAGAAAATCAATGGAACACAGCATGTTTACACCCCAACAGCTCTGAGCAAAGTAGGCAATGGTCAGCCTTTGCCAATGTCCAGGCAATGGACACTTGATCGTCATCAGGCCAGGAGACCCCCACCCGGGTCAGGGCAGAGGTGACCTGTCCAGGCAGATAGCTATTAACAAGATGTCACTGCAGGAGCTGGGAGGAACCCCAGGCAGCGACGGAGAGGCTCTGTCACCACTCAGCTTGCAATCCAGCCGCCTTCACTCACTTGGCAAAAGGTTTTTGGAGAAGTTAAAATGGAGCATGTGGCCAGCATTTGGGGAAATATTGAAGACCTGGGCTCCAATACTATGAAACTTACTATTGTAATTTCACTCATCTCTTTAACAAATATTTTTTGAGTGCCAGTTTTGTGACTGACCATGGGTGGTGAGTAAAACGGACACAGGTTCTTGCCTTTGTAAAGTTCATCATCTGGAGGAGAGGGCACAGACAGTAAACAAACCCAAGTTATAAAACTACCAATTGGAATCATTGCTCTGTGGGGACAGTGGTGTCAGACCTCTGGGGGTCTTCTGTTCAAATCACCATCTTGGGGAAGATATTCGGTGGGGGGTAAGGCACCCAGCAAGAGTCAGCTCACACTTCCTGAGCACTAACAGGTGATGGTCTAGAAGACAGAAGTTACCTTCTACCTCTCATGCTGCTCTTGGGGGGAGTATTGGGAATTGAGAAATGTTCATGAACGTGAAGGCGGTAGATGGTTGCTTGTTTAAGAATATTTATGCCTCGGGGTACCTGGGTGGCACAGTTGGTTGAGTGTCCAACTCTGGTTTTGGCTCCAGTTGTGATCTCAGGGTTGTGACATTGAGCCCCACATCAGGCTTCTTCTCAGTAAGAAGTCTGCTTAAGACTCTCTTTCCCTCTCCTCCCTCCCCCTCCCACCTCTAAAATAAATTTAAAATCTTAAAAAGAAAAAAAAGAAAAGAATATTCACGCCTTCCCTTACAGCTCCATTGGTAAAAGTATATTTCCCTATCCCTTCACTTGGAGGTCAGCTGGGTGACTGGCAATGGGGTGCCAATAGTTGTAATGCAAACTCAGACAGTTGGGATTGTCCTTCTGTTTCTCTGTCATGGCTGTGAAAAGAGCTTGCCCTTATAGCTGCTGCCCCTTTGGCTTGGACCCCAGAGAGAACACACAGAGTATTAAACCCAATCCACGAGAGAAGCCCAATCCAGCTGGAGCTGGAGCTCAGTGCAGTCACCACGGATCCACGCAGACTTGAGAGCGTGAGAAGAAATGCCTGCTGTTGTAAGCCACGAGTTTTGGGGTGGTTTGTTACACAACAGTATGTGGCAATCGCTCCTTGATACAACCAGTAACAGTGCCAGGAGGTAGTTGGGAGAATTAAGCTCCTCTTGCTCAAGCTATCCCAAAACAAACAATCTAACTGAAAACAATGGATATACTATGCAAATACAGCACCCAGAAAAAATCCTCTCTTAACAACTGCCTTCCCACCATATTCTAGCTCTCAGCTGCCACAGGAATGCTGGAGCTGCCACTGTAGAGCACAGCTTCTGCCTCTGGAAGTGGACATTGCTGCATGGGCATTGCCAGCTCCAGGGGCACAGGTGACTCTCTTCATGCCATTCTTGACCTCCTGGTGGTTCTGAACTTTTAGGATTAAAGGCAGAAACTTTCATTTCCCCTGCACCTTCCACTGGTTCTCTCTCTCTCTCTCTCATTTTCCTTTCCTTCTCTACAACCCACCCTGACATTTACTGTAAATAGGCTCTGACTGGTTCTGTGTGGATCAAATGGCCACCTGTAGTCCAATCAGCTGGACCCCGGGTACAACATCAAGTTCAGTGAGCATGACTGAGGGGTGTCTGGGTGCTCAGTTGGTTAACTGTCTGCCTTCAGATCAGGTCATGATATCAGGGTCCTGGGATGAAGCCCCACATTGGGCTCCCTGCTCAGCAGAGAGCCTGCTTCTCCCTCTACCTTTGTCCCTTTCCCCACTCGTTCTCTCAAATAAATAAATATTTTAAAATGAGCGTGACTGCAGGGAGCCAGCTTTCTGTGAATGAGTATAGAGTTCAGGGGGCATTGCAAGCTGAGCAAAAAGCCCCAGAGCAGCCTATTTCTGGGCTGAGCCATCTCTGTTATTCCTCTGTAAACAGACAGTGCTGAATACTCACCTGTGACTCCTGGGAGCTGCAGACACCGACTGAGTGATTACAGTAGCATCTTTACCCTGGAACAGAACATCGACCACGGTAGTGATAATAAACCCAGTTACAGGGCAGTGTTAGGGGACCAAGATTTCTCATCATCCTCGGGTAACACTGGGCAAAGAGCCAGTTAAGTGATGACACTGAAGCCCTAATGTTTTCCCTCCAGAGTTATAGGGCACAAGCTGAACTGAACCCCCATTACCACTCTCAATACCCTCTGAAAGAAGCACATTTCCCAGAAAGTCAGGAGTGTCTGTTCCCCATACCAGACTCAACTAACCATCACAAGTACAACTTCTCCACTATCAGGTAATTTTATCAATAGCAAAATCCACTTACTACTAAAATATATATTTAAGGAAGGCAGGCAGTTCTTACTGCAAACTTTCAGTGGCTAGATGGCACAGCTTCAGTTGGCCTGGGGTAATAAGGCCAAAATCAAGCCATGAGTCAAGGGAGCAATAAAAATCTGAGTCAGGTGGCACCTGGGTTTCTCAGTGGTTGGACGTCTGCCTTTGGCTCCGGTCACAGTCTCAGGATCCTGGGATCGAGTCCCTCAGGGACCCTGCTTCTCCCTCTGCTGTGTCTCTGCCTTTCTCTCTCTCTCTCCCCCTCTCTTTGTCTCTCTGTATCTCATGAATAAGTAAATAAAATCGCAAAAAAAAAAAAAAAAATTCTGAATCAGACTTCCAGTCTAGGCTTCCAAGTATAGCAAGGTTTCCTAAAGTATATGCCAAGAAGCACTGGTTATAGGGGACATGATGAGAAAAACAACAACAAAAGAATTTCATGGTTAAATAAGACCCAGTAGATCAGATTCAGCTTGCTAAGCCAGCAACTAGAAGCTAGAAGCTCAGAATCAAGAGTGACGAAGAAGCTCCAGAGTTCAGGCTCAGAAGCTAGAGTAGAATGACAGCCCGGCTGTGTAAAAGCTAGAGTACAGTTAGAGACCAAGTGCTAAGAGAATACTGGGACAGGAGAGCTGATTCACACCAGGGAGACCTAGGACAATTTCCTAGACTGGGACATGTGCCTAGCGTGCAGTTGGCATTCGTGTAGACTCAATGGTGTAGATAGGATTTGCGCAGCACTTGGCAGAATGGCAGGTGGGGAGGTAGGAAGGCCATTTTGGGCAGAGGAAACATTTGCACAATAGCCTGGAGTGTGGGGTTAGCTCTGTCTGCAGGTGGTTGGAAAGGGGGGCATGAGACTTTCGCTTTGTGCATTCTCAGCATCTCCCCAGGGAAGGAAGAGCGACTTTCAGCCTCGTGCTGTTTCGGGGCACAGCCCTGGAATGAAACAGGACCCGCCGCCCTCATCAATGCCCGCTTTTGACCGAGATTGGGCTGAGCCGGGGCCAGGCAGCCCCAATTCCCGCCTGGACAAAGCAGAGACCCAGGCTCCCCTGGCACGCGCCAGCTGGGCTCAGCAGGGCTGAGTGTCCATTACTGCGCGCTGCAGGCTCCCAGGCAGGGCCCCGGCTGCTTTGTTCACGGCTGCTCCTTGGAGCGAGAAGAGCAGTGGCGCTGGTATCTCCTCCCCAGTCCAGACTCGCTTTGTTCTGCGGGACAGCTCTACCGTTGTGCGTCCTGTCACCCGCCCCTAGGTCTTCCTCTCCTTCCACACTCCAGGCCAAGGGAGGGGGGGGATGCTGTGTCCTCAATTTAAAAGGCTTCAGAGCTCTTGGGTAGGAAGGGAGGGTGGAAAAAAGTCATAGGCTGAGAATGTCTATGGGAGTGCAAATGTCCAGCACTGAGCCTCTGGCAACACTTGCCATGAAACTCACATTTAAAATATAACATAAAACAATTAGAAAGTTTTCCCTTGGTTCAGTAGTATTTATGAGAAACCAAAGAAGCCTGGGAGACATTAATCAGAATCAGAATCATTTTCTGGCCTCCTTCAGTGATTTTTTTTAAAGATTTATTTATTTATTCATGAGAGACACATACACAGGCAGAGGGAGAAGCAGGCTCCCTTCGAGGAGCCCGATGTGGGACCCGATCCCAAATTCCAGGATCACTTACTGAGCCAAAGGCAGATGCTCAACTGGTAGGCCACCCAGGCATCCCCCCTCCAGTGATGATCTTTAATTTCTTAACAGTCTTATTAGGCTCCTAATAGTTTTTCCTGCCTGTAAAATGGGCCACCTCCATCCACAAGGCAGCTCCTGTGACATATGATGATGGTGCTGATACTCCAGAGAAGAGAAGTGGAGCCCACTTCTGCAAGAGATTCTTCCAGTGAACAACTAGCAACTGCTGAGGACAGTGAGCAGGGAGAGGTACTTCAGTATTTAAGTCAGAGAGACTTTCTGAGCTTCTGAACTGCCGTCCTGGTTCTCCTAACCATCTGCTGATCAAACAGGGCCAATGCACTTAACTCCCTCTCCTGTCAAGTGGGGATAATCACATCTACTTTACAAATAGTTGCGAAGATTCAGTGAAATAATAGGTATAAAGCATTTCATGCAATGCCTGCACTTCACAAGTGCTCAATAAATGTTAGCCCTTTGGTGTGAAAACCACTGCCCTACCTGTCAAAGGTGTCCCTTTTATACCAAACAGATGGGGGTCCACACAGTCATAGCCCTCTATCCAGCAATCCCTCCACCTCTGCCCAGAACTCACCTTAAGAAACTATACAACCAAGGGGTGCCTGGGTGGCTCAGTCAATCGAGCAGCCCACTCTTGGTTTTGACTTAGGTGGTGATCTCAGGGTTCTGATCTCAGGGTCATGAGATCAAGCCCTGAGTTGGGCTCTGTGTTCAGTGCAGAGTCTGCTTGAGATCCTCTCTCCCTTTGCCTCTGATCCTCCCTTCTCACTCATGCATGCTCTCTCTCTCTAATAAATAAACAAATAAATAAAATCTTAAAAAACAACAACTATGCAACCAAGAGGAAATGAGGTATAAACAAAAGGGTATTCTCTGCAAAGTTAGTAACAATAGAAAAAAAACTGGAACAGTTAAATGATGAAGTACGCTTAATTATAAAACATCCATTTTACGGACTATTCTTCTGTGACTATTAAAAAGTGTCACAGGCAGAGGGAGAAGCAGGCTCCATGCCGGGAGTCCGACGCGGGACTCGATCCTAGGACTCCAGGATTGCGTCCTGGGCCAAGCAGGCGCCAAACCGCTGAGCCACCCAGGGATCCTGAGAAAGGATAGTCTTGCCAACAAATGGTGTTGGTACAATTGGATAGGCACATGCAGAAGCCAAAACACTTAGACCTTACATTATACCAGACATAAAAACGAAGTCAAAATTGATCACAGGCCTAAATATAAGAACTAAAACTATAAAAAGTTTTTCTCTTCAAAAATAATACCACTAAGAAAATGAAAAGAAAAACCAGGTGGGGAGAAAATATTTGTGAATTGTATCTCTAACTAAAAAGAAAAACACTTATAATTCAGTGACAAGAAGACAACCTAATTTAAAAGGGGGCAGAAGATTTTAAGTCATCTCACCAAAGAAAACACATAAAAGGCTAAAACCCACAAAGAAATGTTTCACACCATTAGTCATTAAGGAAGTGCAATTTGAATTCAACAAAACCACTTCCCACCCACTTTAAAGGCTACAATTAAAGAGAGACAATGGGACCACGTGTCTCGCTCCTCCGTAGAGCATGCCATGTGAGACCTCAGGGTCGAGTTGGGCACAAAGCCTATTTTAAAAAAAGAGAAAGAGAGAGAGACAATAATAAGTGCTGGCGAGGATATGGAGAAATCGGAACCTTCATGGATGGCTGGTGGGAATGTAAAATGGTGCAGCCACTTTGCAACAGTTTGGCTGTTTATTTAAAAAGTTAAACAGAGTTACCATATGACTCAGCAATTCCACTCCTACCTATCTGGCCAAGAAAAATGAAAACATATGTCCACACAAAGACATATGTTCACAGCAGCAGTGTTCGTAACAGCCAAAACTTGGGACCAATCCAAGTGTCCATCATCTGGCGAGTGGATAAACAAAATATTCATACAATAGGATATTATTCAGGAGCAGACTACTGACACATAACTACAATGTGGATGGGCCTCAAAAACATTTTACTAAGTAAAATGAGCCAGACACAAATTTACATAGAATTTCTAGGAAATACAAATCTCTAATACAGAAAGCATATCAGTGGTTTCCTAGGGCAGGGGAGGAAAGCAGGAACTACAAAGCAGGCACAAGGGACTTTGGGAAGTAATGGAATTGTTCTAAACCTGGGTTTTAGCGATGGTTGCACAACTATACAAATTTATTAAAAGTCCTAGAATTATACACTAAAATATGTGGATTTTATGGTATATAGGTTATGCATCCATATAATACTTTAAAGATTGTATAGCAACATGAATAAATTATGGTATGTTAAGTAAATACAAGAAAGCTAATACAAAATATGTAAATATTCAAAATACGTGAATGATGACAACCAATGGATGAATCAGAATAAAGGTGAAGGAACTATGGAGCAATAAAATGGGAGATTTTGTATGTGTGTCTTTTACCAAAATGTTCCTTAATCATTTTTTGTTATTTTGAAAAATATAAAGAGTGAGACAGACTGTTTGGCATTTGGTCCTGTAGCTTTGCAAGGGATCGGAGAGAGGATAATAACACCTCCTCATTCTCTGGTTCTTTTCTTCTGCATTGCCAGAGAGGTTTACAGACATTAGAGCTCATTAATCCTCAACAATCCATGAAACAGGTAGAGAATAATATTACCTTCCCCACCTAGCTTAATCTGATTCATTTAATGGTATAATTTATTTGAATTTAGGATGAGGGCTTTATACGAAGCCATTTGTAATCATATTTTTCTATATTCTGAATCTCTACATATGTATATCCAAGAACAAATGGATTACATTTTAACCACCGCCTCTGAACCTGCCCCCTTCTCATTGTCCTCTTATCCATCCTGAGTTAAAGCTGAGGTGTCCTGTTACCTTAGCTTCAAAACAAAAAACACTTGGCATGTCTAATGCTTCTGGTGGGCCCAAATGGAATCTTTTTGT